AACAATGATATCCTAAACATGGACATTGAAACAGGCAACTTAAACTATAACGCTAACCCTATCGACGCACCACCCGGCAGTCAACATCATACACCGTCAGCCCACTACAAAGTCTGTCAGTTTGGTAGGGGTACGACTTACTCGGCCGGAACGTGTACGTTTCTCGGGAGCCGTTTCCTGGTCCCCTGCAGAACCCACCATGCCTTCGTCTGCATGGATGGTGGGCCGCCCCGTGTCCTCGTCAGTGTGTGTACACTAGTGATGTCAAATTCAGAAATTTTGGAAACCAATACCAAACCGATACCGACCAAACCCACTGAGAGTATACCAAAACCGAACCGATTTTCAGAAATAGGGGGGAAATACCGACTAGATACCGAAATCAGGGAATTATCAGACATGTGCTTCAAACTTTCTCAAGACATATGATTAGCCTTGAAAGGTATCTAATACTTTAAAATAAGGGAACAAAAACAAATCAGGCAACCTCTTAACTATTTGCACTGCAAAAAAACATTCATAACTGTATTTTGTAACTATTAACAAATATTCAGGTCAGTTATTTAACTGGAATGTGGATTCAAGTCATCTGCATAAGGTGTTAGAACAATAACTTGTCCATGCCTGAACCAACAAACGTTCTTTCAATTCCAGTCATTCATTTCGAGTCCGGTCAAGACAGGGTTAAGTGTGTTATCATGATCCAAAAGTGGTGACCCCATTGACAATGATGAGCTACACCTTGGGCTACACCATTAATGTAAACAAAACCCATGATACCTACAGTTCAACCGTTCAACCCAAGTAGCATGGTGATTGGTGACGATACTGACGCAGCCAATTTTTCTTCATAAACAAATGTTTAACACCACAAAACTTGATAAATGATTACTTACGAGCCACACTGATAGATAGCAGACACCACTGTAATGATATCGCGATGAAATCTAAGTAAAATGTCCATAATTTTACGGAAGCATTGACACACGTCACGTGTCATCTCTTCCATAATGGCGGCCTTAGAGGCGGCGGCCATTTGCATTAAGCTGTATAAAATAAAGTTTTTCTTTTCTTTTTCCTTAAGTCCACTTAAATCAAAATTCCTTGTATAGATTTTGACATCTTAAAATTAATTCAAGAAAGCTTGTAGGCCGTTTTTGCTGAAAAAATGAAGTACCAGAAAAACAAAGTTGTTCAATTATTTTCAATTAGCTATTGAGCTACATCGGTACTTGGCGCAGCTGCGACATTGAAATGTTTTTAGATGTGTTCAGTTTTGAAACTGCTGTGTGCGAATCAAGCCAAAAACCAATTATATTTTATTAATGCTTATGATAACATTGCTAGCGATCTGTATCTGTTGAGGTGAGCAGGAAAGAGAACACTAATTGAAGAAAATAAATTATCCACAGGATCATGACAGGATCGCTCACTACAGAGGCTTTTGAAGTTGAGCGAAGTTGAAGATTAGTGGGATGATGATGAAGTGACAAATGCTGCCTTCAATATTAGATGATAATGGTGAATCTAGTGCTGTATTAAACAGGGTTTTGGATAATGTAATTGCATTGCAGTGAAATGGAGAGCAAGACAAGGTCAAGATCAATCACAGACTCCTCAAAAAAAAGTCAAATTTGTTGCTAATAAATGCTTTGGAAATTTTGAGAAAGGCAGTTAAAGTATGTTTTCCAGCATACAGTGAGTAAAACATTAATTCATGTTCATGTCTTGCACATTGGCTTTCTTTGTAAGATAATTATCCTCATGGTATTGGAATTTGCTAACACTGATAACTGATAAGTTGCCATTTAACATTGGTGGTCTGATGTATTTGATATTGCAGCTCATGTGTTTGCCCATTTGTTAGGACATCATGCATTTGGGAGAAATGTGTCATGATTGCCATTTTTTCTTCATCCAGTGTCATTTAGCAAATCAATTTTGAGTTCAGAAGGTTTATCAAAAATGCTTTCAAATCTTTTATGGCAGTAGTTGATTTTCATGATACCGACAAAATACCAAATGCTTTTGGTATATCATACCGAATACCGAATCGGTTTTGGTTCGGTATCGGTATACCGAAATTTTGGTAACCGATTGACACCACTAGTGTACACTGTACCTGCTGTGTCGCTGCTTGGAGGCCCCTCACGGTCCCAGTCGGACTCGCCTCTCGCAGAGGGTCGGTCCTGGGCACGGCTAGTGGGTTGGCCGCGCCTTGACTGGTCCCATCCCCCAACCGGGTTGGGTCTCAAGGGGTGTCTCTGGACACAGGCAGAGGGGTGCCTTGACTGGGTTGCCCCTGGCTGTCTCACCGTCGTCCCGAGTGCAGCGGGTTGTGCCCGGGACGGATTCAGACCGCCTGTCACCGGCGGCCTGGAAGCCGCTCTGAGGGGAACTGGTGCCGTCCGGATGTTTGAAGGGGCAGTTCACTCTTATGTGATCCATCAGACCGCAAACATAACAGTTCATGACTGATTTTTCTCCACTGTCACAGTCCTTTGGTGCCACTATTCTGTGAACACCAGCACCAGTGTGGTCTCCCAGTGCCCTCTCAGCTCTCTCTATTCCTGCCACTGTCTTGACAGCTGTGCCAAGTGTTGTCACTCCCATCTTGACCAGCTCATGTTTACCGAAGGGTGGGAGTAGTTACATCAGATGCAGCAGAGACGTCTGATCTCTGTCGGCTTTGTTCATGAGAGTTGGGTATGCAGCAGGTATCAGTGCCTGTATTTGTAGCAGGGTGCGCCTCACGTTACCCAGATATCCAAGGCTGTCAAGCTCCTGCACGGCACTCACCGGATCCAAAGCTCCTCCCAAGAAGCTGGACACCTCTGACTCGAGGTCACCGAGTTCTTTCGGCAGATTCTCACTGCACAGCTGCCTCACACAGTCTTTGACTTCACCAGTTACAAAAAAAAATCTCAAGTTAGCCACCAGCTTTTCCTCATTCCACTTCTTCAGTCCACCAAAAATGCGTTGCGGTAGTCCTCCAACCACACCACCCATTCTTTGGCGCTTGTGCCACTGAACTTTTCGAGTCCAATATCTTTCTCAGCCATTATCTAGTCCGTTACTTCACTTAGATCAAACAATCAATCAAAAACACCGCACCAGAGACCCCAACGACTGCCACCATTGAAATGGATTATCTCCTTTGTCTCTGGACTCGCGTGTTTACTGCTGATTGATATATTTCACATTCTTCGGTTCTCATGTCCCACCTCAAGCCACATCACCACTCCCCCTCTTCACGTCCCCCCGCGTCCTCCAACAACCCACGCTACGACAGTTCTGGCGCAGCCGCGCCATTCACCCTGGCGAGAACAGGTAAGTCACCGCAACCAAATTATACAACTCGCTACACCACTAAGGACCACGACAGATGCACTGATGCGACACTGACGCTTTCATAAGAACTAAGACAAACTGGTCTGTCCCTGCTGGGCCGACGGCCCCTGTGTCCCCACCCCAATAACATGACCCAGCGCACCCGATCGTGTGGAACACGACCACGCACCCATCCCCTGCCCCCGGCGAATCTCCGGCCGCCGAGCTACCAATAAGACGTTTCTGCGCGGGCGCAGCGCGGCATTCTCGCCCTTATTGACACCAGCCGACTGGCCGGCGCGACATGATCCTCTTTAAAGGGACCCTCCCACCTTCAAAAAAGTTAATGAATTGGCACGAAAGTGATGTCGCTCGGTTCAGAAAGAGCGAAAACGAATATCTACCAAATTTCATCGAAAAATATTCACCGGTTTTCAAGATATTAGACTTTTATTTTTGTTTACTTTTTGGGTTCTCCGCTGTTCCTAGCGACTTTATTTGAAAGTGCGGCATTTGTTGCGCGCAAAGCAGCATATACCACCGCGTGCTACCAAACGTTTTAGTAAAAGATTTAAAAATCGTTAGATCTCCGCTGACGTCACAAATTCTAAGGGGGCATACCAATGCACTAGCCCCTTAGAATCCGAAAACTGCAAGTTTGAAATTCCATATCTCCGAATTAAAGCATTTGTCGATGTTGTGAGTGCCCAAACCGGTATTTGCAGGCCATGGCCACCAATTTGGCTATCTCAACTCAAAACTAATGTTAAGGTGGGAGTGTCCCTTTAAGCCGTTTGGGCCTAGGGGACCCCTGGCTTTAAATATTTTTCGGAAAAAAGTATCATTGATCTCAGAAAAGAATACCTCACCACACGAGCCCTAAGCCCGTATGCTTTTCCAAAATCGTTTTTTTTTAACAACCGTACTGCACGCCCACGGTCGTCCAAAGCGTCTGTAGAGGATGGATACTGGATAGGTCTGGCGAGGGATTTGGGTCACCAATCACCATGCATATTGCATAACATGAATCACATATTCCATAGCTAACATAACACGTTGTCACATCTCAAGATAGGCTCCACTGCCGCTTTAGCGATGTTGAATATAACCTGGGCGCCTTGTACGATTTAATTGGCATTTGATAGGCTGCCTGTTCCATAGTAGGTAGATACTCGGAGCGAAATGCGAACCAGGCACTGTTGCCGAATCTATTAAAGTGATATTTGTGTGGCTGCTAGGGAGTTTTCGGCTCCCCAGGATTGAGCATAGGGATGTGTTGGGCAATGATGCCCTGTGTAAAATGTCTATTGAACGGAGGGCTGACGAGAAGATGCAACTTTTTCATTGCCAAGTTGCGCAATGCGGCAGAACGTCCGTGAGCGGCAGCAATAGCACCGTGTGTCATCTCCTGAGGACAAGGACACCATACCACGGGAGCGTAGAAGCAGTAGAAGCAGCTGAACACCTGTGCCCGCTCTGTCGGGCTAAGTGTCGGGCATGCTCATTGCTCAGCTGTTGCTCTGTCGCACCGGGGGCATCAGCCGATCTGTCCCCGGCGGCTGTCACCTGACCTGCCCCCCCCCCCCCCCCCGCCGCGCTGGGGATCTGCGCGCGCGCCGGCCCGTTCGATCGCCGGGAATGACGTCACAGCTGGCACCGGCCCAGAGGCGGAGCGGCTGGCCGTGGTCGCTGACTGACCTGTGCTGTGGTGGACGGAGCGGCTGGCCGTGGTCGCCTGACTGACCTGTGCTGTGGTGGACGGAGCGGCTGGCCGTGGTCGCTGACTGACCTGTGAGGCGGCGAGTGTGACCAGGCCGTGGACTCCTGGGAGCGCAGCCGGAGACGGCGGTCCGCGGCCGGCAGCCACGGCCCCAGCCGAGTGACTGAGGCAGAGGCAGAGGCCAACAGCAGGTACGGGCTGCGGACGGCTGCTGGGGACGGGCTGGACAAGGAGTGGCGAACGGCGCATTCAGTCGCCAACCCGCCCCGGGCTGGAAGAGCAGTGGTGGGATGTTTGAACACCCGCTGCGGTTTTCGCATATGTCTCAAAAAACGCGGGCACCTTTTCATGCATCTTTTCTGCTGCTGTAGAAATTTCAGACCCAGGATTAAGGTGATGCGAGATCCAGATCCGTGGGATCAGTTCTCGGATCCATTTTCTGGGATCTGTCTATCTGCTGGCAGGTCGGCCGCTCCGCCGTCTGCCACTCTCAGCGTGCCGCTCCGCCGTCTGTTCAGCTCGGGACCATGACGGCGGCCGGCGGCGGCGGCGACGACCCGGTGCTGGCCGCGATGGGGACCGTGGGCAGGTGGCAGGCGTGCCAGTCGCTGCTGCTGTCGCTGGTGGGCGTGGTCTGCGGCTGGCAGGTGCTGGTGATCGCCTTCCTGGCGCCGCCCACCGCCCACTGGTGCGCGCCGCCCTCGCCGCACTGGGACGACCAACAGTGGCGGCGCGAGGGCATCCCCGACCCGGCCGAGGTAGGCACGACACCAACGGGACACGGGTCCCACACCCAGGCATGGATCAGACCGGACCCAGACAGACCAGAACCAGATCACACCGGGGCCCAATCTTATAAAGGGCGCGTTATCAAATGCCGTGCTGACATTTCACGGTACCCTACGCATGGCATGTAAGTACACAATCTTATAAAGACGATAGTGCGGCATCTCTACTCAGTGGCATTTTGCCCACGGCACAATTCAGCGCTAGCAGAAAGCACGCAACGTGATTGGCGAATGCTTCTCACCGTCACTATTGGAGATTGTGCGTGTTGTTTGCGAACAGGTACGTATGTTGTTTTGTTTCGAAGGGGTAGCGTGCAGCAGTCTTGTTTTTTTGTGAGATATTTATTTGCTTTAATCCACAAATAAGTAGGCGTGCAGGGTTTGATATTTGTGGAAAATGTGGTAGCAAACTATAAATAACTAAAGCATACTTACCTTCTCGAAGAATTATCCTGAAAGGCGAACTTCTCATCCAGTAAACTTCCACGTGGTGCGTTCTCGCGCTGAGAAAAAGTGGACAATGTTATCGACCCATTATGCTAGTTACCTATTTTTTCCATTTACTCGCTGTAAGCATATCAGTCGCACGACCCATCAGTCATACGAGCCAACGCTGCAGGCAGTCGCTCACGCTTTCTGCCGTCTGCTCCGAAGACGATGACGTCGTTGAGGTAGACTTGCACGCTGATTAGGCCCTTCAACATCGCCTCTATCGCCTTCTGGGACGCCATCGGCAGGCTCTTGGCGCCGTACGGACAGTTCCCTCGTGACATATTTGTGGCGGACGCGCGTTTTTGCGGCGTTTTTTTGCGGTTCGGCGGGCGGGTTATTGTGTTTTTGCGAAGTTTGCGTTGGCGTTTTGGGCGTGCGTTTTGCGCGTTTTGCGGTGTTTGCGTTTGGCGGCGGGCGGGCGGTTTTTCACAATTAAAGTCCCAACCTTCGGATCCGCAGTGCTGTTCGACAAGCGCTGCCCGGGCCTGCGGACAGTTCCCTCGTGGCATACGAACGTGGGCAGTGGCCACGAGTCTGGGTGCATCTCTAACTGATGGTATGCCGACTTCAAGTCCAAACACGAGAACGCTGGCCTCTGCACCTTGTCAAGCATGTCTTGGATGGCTGGCAGTGGATGGCCATTGGCCTCGATAGCCTCGTTAACGGCTTTGAGATCGACCCACATTCTCAGTTTATCGTTCTTCTTCGGTCCGATAGCACGTTGAATACGTTTATCTGGATCCCACGATCGGTGATATTCAGGGCGAGCTGTCCACCCTCTCGAGCACTCCCGCCTCCTGCAGATGCTCTGTCAGATGCTCCTTCACCTGCGGGGTCTCGGGGTGAAAGGGGTTGGTTGCATCTTGTGCTGCATAGAAACAGCCTCAGGCTTCACACGAATCCGGTGAACGAACCCTGTTGTCCCTGGTAAGACGCCATCAGCCTCCTGAACCGCACACTCGGCTTCACCGTTCGTGATAGACAGCTTCAGTCCCATCTGCAGGTATCTGCCCAACAGCGGAGTCCCTGCGTCAACCACATACACACGGGCAGTGCAGTTCCTACCATTGCAAGCACTTATATGCATCTACCTACCTGAAGAACACCTCGAACCGGAAGACGATGGCCACCGTATCCTTCGAGCCTTGTAGTCATTCCGGTGAGAACCACTTCAGGGAACATCTTCTCTTGTATGTGAGACGGTAAGATACTGACGGCAGAGTCTGTGTCAGCCAGCATTCTCACCGATTCTCACACAGCATTCCCATACACATATTCACATTTGTCCACAGTGCGTCCGGGTGGCGTTGTTTGCGTTTGAAGGCGTGCGGGCGTTACGTTTTTTGCGTTGTTTGCGGTTGCGTTTCTGGCGTTTTTTTTTTCAAACATTTACCTGCGGTCCGGTGATGCCCAGCATTGCCTTTCAGGTATTGAGGTTCTCTGGTTCTCGGTAGTGCATCTTTTGTCCAGTATTATTTAAATTGATGCGTATTCCCAGCACGATGGTCACTCACAGGGTTAGGTGTAATTATTGATACGGCCCTCAAGCTTCACCGACACATTCGTTCAGTATGTAGTACCTACACAAACAGGGGGCTTGCTGAGAGCTTTCTCAAAAGCAGTGTGTAGACAGATCCGTTGGCCTTTGTCACTCTCTCGAAGCCCCTGGTGAACATCAGTAGGCACATTCGTCAGCTACCTCACATTTAGTTCTGGTTGAGGGCGAAAGCTCGTAGCCATTTTCTGGCACCATGTAACGTTTGTTTGTAGTAGAGATGCCACTTTTGAACCCGCGAACCCGCTTTCTGCGGGTTTTCAAAACCCGCTGGGTTTTTGGCGGGTTCGAGAAGCAAAACTTGTCGTGTGGCGGGTATTTGGCGGTCAGACTTAAGAACCTATAAATTTATTTTTTTTAGATGCAAATTGCAAAACACAATGCCAAGTGCATTTGCTCAGGTTGACAATACAATATTCATCAAAACAACTTTTAAAACAGAACCAAATATAAAAATATATCAAGGTAGCACATTTCAAATGCAAAACTGAAAACAACCAGCAATAGCATCCACAGTCTAGCAATGACCAAACCAGACCAGGGTACAAGCAACAAACTACAAAGCATAAGTAAATGCTGATGAAAGCATTCCATAAAACATAAAAGAACCTGAAAGCAAACTTATAGGAAGCTGAACTGAAGTCTATGTGCAGTGTGCACCAGATATACATTATGGAAGAACCCAGACTTTAATGAGATGTTGAAAATCAGAGCAAATGCCACATGTTACTTTAACCCGCGCCCGGCTGGGGGTCCTGGATTTCCACGCCCTGCTGGGGGGGGGTGTTTGAACACCCCCCCTTGTAACTCGGCTCCTGGGCCACGTAGCGATACGCGGAAGGCGGCGTTCGAAAGAGCGTAAAAAATAATGACGAAATCACTTCGGTCAATTTTTTGGTCAGGTCAAAGGTCAGGTCACCAGAGGTCATTGAAGGCAAAATTTCGCCGATTTCCAGGTCGAATGTCGAAAATTTCCAAGAAGCCAACGCATAACTCGAGAAGCAATAGAGCTACAGCGCCGCGGAAAAGTGCATTCGATAGCCCTATTAAAGCCCTTTCTGAGTAATTCCCTCAGATTTGACCTAACGTCAACGGTTTTGCCTGCAGGGGGCAAAAATTGCAAAAATAGCCGATTTTTTTCGGAAACAGTTTTTCTGCAATAACTTTTGACCCAATCCTTGTACGAGCTTACTTTTACCGCCATTGTGTTACTCTCGTCAAGACGCATCGAATGAACTATAAGTTGACCTTGAAAGGTCAACTTGAAAATTTGACCTCTGGTCAAGGTCATGACCTGACCGGAAAGGGTCATGTTGCATATCAGTCGATCCGTATCGTCGAGCTGAACACATCTAAGGCGTTTTCATCGCTCTAGCATGCCTCTATCAAAAGTTATTTGCGAAAAACTGTTAGATACCATTCGTGACCTAAGATGACCTCAGGGCATAAACAAGGGTCACGGACACCATTTTCATGTTCAGTGTGTCTAAACCACTTGTAATTCGGTGTTTGGGAGTGTTTATAATGTCTTTTGTCCAAAAGAGGCGCATTTCAATTTTCTCCCATTGACTTATAATGGGGAGGTCGCAAAATTGACCTGACCTTAGGTCATCGATATCAAAATTCTGAGATATACATTTCATACATGCTATTGCTCTTAGCAATCGCTGAAAGTTTCAAAGCGATCGGTCACTCGGTGTAGCTATGACAGACATTGAAACTTTTTATGAGGTGAGGTCACTTCAAGTGACCTGGTGACCTGACCTTGAATGACCTTGGTCTGAAATTTTCACAACATGTGTAGAATCGATGTACGATAAGGTGTACCAAAAACGGCGGCGCTCCGCGCCGCCGTTTTTGAGATATTCGCGAAAAACCACAAGGGGGGGTGTTCAAACACCCCCCCCCAGCAGGGCGCGGGTTAATTGCGTCTGGTCGGCATAAAAAAGAGCTATCAGTTAAACAAAATTTGATGCAATGCAAATTCATTCATTACCTATCCTACTCTATGTTCTGTCCCACCCTATATTACGACAATAACACCAATTACCCTTACAAAAAAATCAAAATATTGACTGGCATGCGGCCCAAACATAACGCAATACAAAACTGGCGCACTTCCGACATTCTGACAAGGATTGGCATTTGACTGCGTCAATTTTGGTCTCTGAGGCGAAGGAAAGCTGACATTGATGACGCAATAATAATTTTACAATCAATTTTTCTGTTTTGGTTTTTGAATACCTCAAAATAGCAGTTACCTATACATGTTACAAAACCACGTAGCTGGTCGCATTTATTTCTTTTGTCTTTTTACTTGTCATTTGTATGCCGAGAGATGACCAGCCGGAGAGCATTACCAAGACCATCTTTAAAATTATTACATTTAATTTAGTATTTACTGTCTCTTTTTTTTTAACAGGTGATTAACTCTGATTTGTAAAACTTTAGCTGTTGTGTAAAATAACTATCAGAATGGCACATGAATATGCATTATACAACGGTGTTTTCGCAACAAGTTCGCACTAACTACGGCTGCAATAATTTAGTCGCTGTAACATTCCTTGCAATCAGCTGTTGATGACGCTTCTGACGCATGTTTCCAGAAACGCGTGGTTTATTGGTGGTTAGTTGGTTTTTGCTGGGATTTTGCATGATTTTTTATGTGTAGATCGACTGGATACTCATTATTCAACGTGTCACTATTTATTTTTAACTGGAAATCGCATATCTTTTTATATCAACATTCATTTTGATAACAATATCATTCTAGAAGCCTAATATTGAGAGGGAGCTAGAGTGAAATTTTGATCCTCAGCCAATGCTGAAGGGTAAGGTGAGAGAAAGATTTTACTGAACTCTTTTCAGAAAGGAATTTCAAATGTATTGATGCATTATTCATTTTCCGCTATCCAGTGTGCAC